GAAGTAACGAAGAAGAAGTAAGAAGTAGTGAAGAGACGAGAACGAGACGAGAGAGACAGAGAGAGAGAGAGACGAGAGAGAGAAGGAGAGAGAGAGAGAGAGGTTAAAAAGCTGGAGAGAGTAAGAGAGAGGAGAGACTTCCTCGTTTGATCGTCCGATACTTTGATCTCTTGCCTTTTGCCCTTTTTATAGAGGTTTTAGGCATCCTTCTTGATAAGGCCTTGCTTCTCTTTGGACAGGTGGTCAGTTAGCTTTTTTGGCATGGTTATCGTCAGGCGTCCAGGTGTCATTGGGTGGCTTCTAAACTTTATTTCTTTCAGTAGGTGGTACAAACAGGTAGCTTCGGGAATCTTCCTCTTGAGCTGAGGGCTTGGATTCATTTATATGGGTGGCTAAAAATTTTATGCCATTTGGTGGCTTTGAGAAACTGTCTTCGGCATGTGGCTGTACGAGTGGTATCCTTTATTGATTGCTTTGACTGGGTAGGTGATCTTGTTGTCAGAGGGCTCAGAAAGGTAACGGGATTCCTTTTTGCGTTTAGGGTTGGTTGGCATCAGAGAATCTTTTGGTAGCAGCTAGGTGGAAAGGTGTTAGTATGCTGAGGTCATTCGTCTGAGAAATATCTCTGCTTCTTTTCTTTAAGAGTAATTAAGACTAATAATCTTGATTTAAGGCTATGAGCTCATCCTTCCATCATGTTATCGAGATTTGCCAGTCCCACCTCATCTAAGGTATCATAAAAATCTGATCCCTCATCTTTATGAATTTGATAGTATTTATTATCATTCATTTTTCTTTGACAGTCTTTGTTTTGTTTTAGGACTCCCTTTTAATCGGGCTACTTCTATCGTATTGAGATACATTTCACAGCTCTCTAATTTCTCATACCACTCTTGTGGTATGGCTGGAGTCCAATTAGAGGGGCTACTTATAGTAACTCTTTCATGATGAAAGATCTTGCATGTCTCATCATAAGAATGAGCTAGTATAACTTCATAAATATTTTTAAATCCTTCTGCTCTTACATAGAATATTTTCTTTCATAAAATAATCCTTTTGAGTTTGGGAAAGGCAATACTCTTCTTTCTCCAAGGTTAATTATAAGAACATGATGGGTTGCAAATAATGTTTCTTGGTAAATTTCTGGGATGGCATCGCAACAACCAACAAAAAGAGGTCTTGTAAGGGTTTTTAGGAAGCAAGGCAACATCTTAGGAATTCCCTTTTTATCCTCAGATTCGAGATAAAAGCTTGAAATTAATCCTGCTGTCATTAATAATTCTTCCTCTTCATTGTCTTGAAGATGTATTCCAGGGAGACCTTTTTTGGCCAACAACTTTGTTTTTGTTTCTAATAAGTTAAATCGTGAAAATAGTTCCAGATTTCTGTAAGATATTTCGCTTGAGCTTTTCTGCTAATTTCTTTTGATGCCTCATAAGGCAATTATGGTATTTGTCTTGAGCGTTCTCCCTTTTTTTTATTTTTCAAAGCAGCTTGTAGTTATTTCTTTCTCCGGTTTTCTTTTTCCTTCTTTTATCTTTTCTTCCAGTGGCCATCTTAGAGAATCTGCAAGATGGTCCAAGGACTCTTGTACACAGAATATTGTTGTTAGAATAGCATAGTCTTGACCTTTTCCGAATTCCTCTGTGAGAATAATATCAGCCAAGTCCTCAGTAATTCTTTTTATTTTTACAAGTAAAGAGATATCCTTATACTTGGATAATTTGTTAATGATTTTTTCTGTTTAATTTGTTAATGATAATTTGTCAATGATTTTTTCCAAGTAAAGAGATATCCTTATCCTCTGAGAACATTTTGAATACCTATAATTATTTAATTAATTCATAATGTTTTGTCTTATTAGTCGAGAGAGAGAGAGAGAGAGAGAGAGAGAGAGAGAGAGAGAAATGGGAATAGTAAAAATATGGACTTGATGAGAAATAAGTCAAGTGGGTTTATTTTGGTAAAAGAATAGGACAGACGAGAGGGTGCATGGAAGTGGGTCCTTGAAATCTACCATCAAATTGCCAATGCCACATGAAAGGAAAAAGGATAGAGGGTTTGACGTGAAATCTCGATTTTCAAATGGGGATAACACAATATTTTCCCTATTTTTTATAGTGATTCCACTGGCCATCTCCATTTGGGCCTTGAATTCTACCTCCACTTACTCTTGATAAGTTGCAAGTTGCATATTCCTTACGCCCTATTTCCTCAACTGCCCTATGTCTCCACGCCTATTTTAGGTGGTTAGTACTGTCTGTCATAAGCTTCTTACAATGATCACACTTCAGCACATACCCTTCTCCAGCAGCTTCACCTCATCTTGCCATGCTGGATCGTCCCTCGTCTTCTCCCAAATCTAAAAACGACATGCTAAAGGCATAAACCCCAACCAACATACTTTTAAAAATTAAAATATTTGTAAAAAATTGTACACTAGATCATAAAAACCTTTAAAACTATCTAAATGATAACATTGTATTAGAAAAACATTGAACATTATACATACATAGAAGTATATCCTTGTACACTTGTAAAAACTGTGTAAAGGAATTTGAAAAAAGAACTTGAATGTTACACTTATTTGTGATAGATTGCCACAAAAATGCAACAATAACAGAAATAATGCTAGATGAACTAAAATTATTAAAAAAAATCAGGCAATTTAATGAATTTAAAGTAGAAAAAAAAAACTTACCCAAAATTTCGAGCAAAACTTTTGGTTCCGAGATCTTTATGCTTGTTGCAAATTGATACCTCCAATTTTCAGGAATGTTTCCCTAGACGGCCCTAAGTGAAACCTCGGAACGAGTTTTGGGTATATTAGATTGGGGAGATTCCGAATTAGAGATCTCTCAGATCCTAATTTTTTGTGTTTAAGCCCATGGTTGGATAGTTAACCTTTCCTCAAAGAAAAAATAAAAAAGCCTATGATTGGATGAAGAACCCAAAAATAGGCTTTGAGGTCAAATTTCATTGGGAATCACCATCTATTGTGAAGAAAATTGCAATTTTTTGGGTTTTCAGAAACCCTTAGCTGAAATTTTTGATCACTCAAATTTGTCAAATCTGAGTTTTTTTTCTCTAATCCACTGTATCTACTAGATGTATATATGGCAAAAATTAAGCTATTATAGACTCAATTTGGGCTCAAAGCGCAGTCCCTAGTCGTCAAAGCTTGGGATGAAGAGAAAAGGGTTGCAGATTTCTGTGCCCCCTTTTAAACTGAAACTTGCATGGTACTTGGCTGAGTTCTATAATGACTCGCCTCAGTTTATTCACCTGAATACTTTGAACTGCCCGAGTTTCACATTATTCGGGCGAGTCTATACAGTATATATTGTTACACCCCTCTTGCCCCCAACCCTCCCCCCCTGGGGGCCTGAGTTTTGGGGGGTTTGGGCTCAGCACCCTGCCGAGCCTGAGTAACGTGGGCGAGTCTGAGTGTACTCGCCCAATTTTCAAACATTGGCTAAAAATATTGCTGATTATGGCAAGTGTTTTTCTGCAGAGCTGCCTCAATTTTTATTTAATGCTGGATTTTGTCGTGATGGAAAGCTTATTGGGGTCACTCAACCTCGACGAGTTGCTGCTGTTACTGTTGCAAAGCGTGTAGCAGAGGAATGTGGCATTGAGCTAGGCCAGAAGGTTGGATATTCAATAAGATTCGAAGATGTCACATCTAGCACAACAAGAATCAAGTATATGACTGATGGATTGCTTTTGAGGTGCTGCCTTGTGCTTCTTAAAATTCACATTGAGCAAGAGTAATAATTTTTGTGTGCTATTTCAAGTTGCAAATGTTTGACGCCACGATTGGTCTTTTGCTCTAATTCTCTCTGTCATGGGGGGTACGTTTCAGTGTAAGAAATGTCCTTGTTCTCTGTCTTTCCGGTTATGAATGATATTCAACTAAATTGTGGTTGTTTCAGGATGGTGGTGATAGTATTTAAATCTGTTTGAAATGGCACTTGAAGGGTTTTTGTTTCTTAAGAAAATATGGCATCTATTGCTGAGTATTTTGTATAAAATATATATACTTCATTTGTTTGCCAATGGATTAGAAGGTTAGAAATATTTGGCCTACCAGAGGCAATGAAGTATCAGTCTATGATTGTGCTTATCGATTTGCTGATAGAAAGCCATTTTTATGGGGAACCTCAGAGAACAACGGTGGCACAAATGTTATTAGTATTGTCTCTTTTGTGGAAACTAAGGATGCAGTATCTCTTTATAATGTTTTTAGAACTTCCTTGCTAGGCTAAGTAAATGGTGAAATGTGAATAGTCTTATCGAATTAGGGTTCTACTGAGGAGGGATGTTTTTGTGGGACTTCTTGTCTTCATGATGTAACATGGGCATTTCTCTTGTAATATGGCAGTTCTTGATGTAATCAGGTTATTTTTTAGTGAAGGAATATAACAGAGATATTTATGTCTCTTGCATTGTACTCTTTTTTTTGGTAAATACTGAATGTAGTTTAATTATGAAATGCATTTATCAGTAGAAAAGACTAAATAACTTCTCACAAAGAACTTACTGCTTTTAACTATTTTTTTGTTTTGATAATGTACTGCTTTTAACTATTATGAAATTGCAGGGAAGCACTGTTGGATCCTCGTCTTTCTAAATATTCAGTCATAATAGTCGATGAAGCTCATGAGAGAACGGTGCATACTGATGTGCTACTGGGTTTGTTAAAAAATGTACAGCGTGCAAGATTGAGATCCCCCACCAACCAGTGTCTTGTTGATTCTAAGGATTTTCATACCTCAAAAGTTCTTCCCTTAAAGCTGGTTATTATGTCTGCTAGTCTGGATGCTAGAGGATTTTCTGAATATTTGGGTAATGCCAAAGCTGTTCATGTCCAAGGCCGGCAATTTCCTGTCGATATACTATATACTTACTCTCCTGAGTCCGACTATATTGATGCTGCTTTAATAACTATTTTTCAGGTATACAATGAACTTTTCTCTTTTTAAAATTCTTATTGCGTGTATGTTACATTCAGTTGACTTTATTTCCTTGCCTTTTGTTAAATGTTACATAAACAAATGATAGTACACATTCTGAGTTGTTTCTATATGGTGTATGGATTTCTCATTTTCCTTCAATAAAATTATGCATCATTTGTTAAATTCTTTTATTAATGGTCATGTCATTCTTTTGCTATATAATGATTTGTATATTGGGAGTATATCACTATGAGAATGAACCTCTGTATGTAAATGGCGGTGTTGATGGAGCTTCATTAAAAAAATATCATAACTTGGGGCTCGCCTTAGTGAGCCCAGATCATGACCCCAATGATTCCAGAAGAAAAATGATAGAGACGCCTTGAGACCCACCCTAAACCATATTTCTTTGTTAACAGACCACCGTTTTTGTCTGAGCCGGACTGGGTGACTCGGGCTCAATACCCTTGCAAGTTCGGGTTCCATGATTTTAATCACTGGTTTGTATAATAGTTTGTCTCTACTTTCCATTTCCTAACTGGATGGTGGATGTGCTTTCTATGTTCCTGCCAAGTTACATGTTATGTGCATTTAGTATTTTTCGTTCTTGTGTCACTAAGAACATAATCTTTTCTTGAAGGATCATACTATTTATTACATACTGTTTATGTTCCTGCCAAATTACATGTTATGTGCATTTAGTATTTTTCCTTTTTGTGTCACTAAGAACACAATATTTTCTTGAAGGATCGTACTATTTATTGCATACTGTACTCTTCCTTGTCTTTTTACTTTCTGTTCCTTTTTAATTTATACTCGTGGGAAATTATTGATGTTTTTGATGTTCTGAGTTGCATATTTATGCCAATTATTGTAGAACATATGAGGGAAGACTTTTGTGTTGTGAATCTCATAATTATTTCTATTTTATTAGATCCATCTAGAGGAGGGTCCAGGTGATATTCTAGTCTTCTTGACTGGGCAAGAAGAGATTGAATCTGTGGAAAGACTTGTGCGAGAGCGAGCTTTGCACCTATCTGAAGACTCTCGAAAGATTCTAACAGTTCCAGTATATTCTGCTCTTCCTTCAGAGCAACAAATGCAAGTCTTCAGACCGGCACCAGATGGTTTCCGAAAGGTAAAGAGTGTCACTCGTGCTTTTGTTGTCTATTGTGAGTGAATGTTTTCTTATGTACCTACCAAGCAATATCTATTCACCCAATGAGCTCTATATTTTAAGATGCTGTTGTTATGTTAGCACTTAAGCAAATCACCTATAATATGATGTTTGTCATAAACTTCTTGCAAGTCCGTTATCAAATTTTGCTCAAGACTGAATGATGGCCATGCATATTCTTCCATAGATTGTATCAAGTGAAATTTACATGTTCTTGAAATTCATATGAACGATCTGCTTCCTGTCCTTGCATGGATCTTTGCATCCCATGCCTTTTTAACTATTGGAAATGTATGTGGTTTATTTCTTGCTTAGTGAGTCTGGTTATTTTACCCATAACCTCCAACTGGTCATTTCTCTTATAGGGCTAGATTCAGTACAAAAAAAAGGTTTCATAATAATAAAGTTATGTTTCCATTTTGGAACTTTTGCATGCCCTATTAAGTGACTGCCCTTCAGCTTCCAAAGAGCGAATGTTCAGCGCTGGAAATACTGTAACTCCAGGTCATTTTGCTCATGCTTCAGTCACCATCATCGTGTAATGCAGCGGGTAGTCAAATTTTCTTTCATTGAAAACTATTTTGTACAAGTACTCAGCATCTTAATTACCATTACTCTGAAGATCTGAAAATCGTCTTCTGTAACTTTTGATTGTCGTTAGGGGCTAGAAAATTGGATCACTAGCGATCAACTGTTAAAACCAGTCCATATATCTATAGTTTATTATTTTTGTTCTAATAAATTTTTTTTCCAAAACTTGTAGGTTATATTGGCAACAAACATTGCTGAGACATCTGTTACCATTCCTGGAATTCGATTTGTCATAGATACTGGATTAGTGAAAGCTCGTTCGTTCAACCCACGGACAGGGATGGAATCGTTGGTTATAATACCAATTTCAAAGGCACAGGCACTTCAAAGGAGGTGAGCATACTTCCCCAATCCGTATAGGGGCATCTCAGCACATCACTTTTATCAGTGGCTGTATATAAAAAAGTAATGCCATTGGAGGGAGGGGGAGAGTGATCAAGTATTTTGTAATGGCTAATTCATTTGTTTTTTTAGTGGGTAAGTTGGGATCCAGACCCAAGTTCAGTGTGGGATGTGGCCCTTACCTGTTTCAGTTGTATGGATATCCATGTTCTTCTGTAATTCCTCAATTTCTTCTTTCTCTTTCTTTGAAACATCTCTCCTTTGGATATTCATTTCCTGTATAAGGGTCAATGTTCAAAAAGGCATAGTCAGGCACCTAGATCCCTAGGCGGTCTAAGGGCAGGGGTTGGGGTGGGGGGCATTTGTTGTTTTGTGTGTGTGTATGTTTGTAGTGTGTGCTTGTGCGTGCGCAGGCGTGCACGTATGTGCGTGCATGAGGCCTTGCATGAAGATCATCCTCTTTTTTACTTTTGGATTCATATTTGTGACAGAGAGAGGTCTCGAATACTTGAGGACGTTCTTCTTTTACTTCTAATATATTGCTAGAGAGAGAGAGCGAGAGAGATAGAGAGAGAGAGAGAGAGAGAGAGAGAGAGACCTTGCATCAAACACTTGGAGGTAATTTACTTCTTTTTCTTCTTCTTACATGTGAAAAGGGACCACATGGGTCCATATGTATCTGTGTTTGTGTATGTGTGTGTGTGAGTGAGGGGGAGGCGCGCATTGAACACTTGGAGGCCATCTTCTTCTTCAACTTATATGTAAAGATCACATGGGCCACAAGAGAGAGAGAGAGAGAGAGAGAGAGAGAGAGAGAGAGAGAGAGAGAGAGAGAGAGAGAGAGAGAGAGTAGTAGTAGTAGTAGTTAGTTAGTTAGTTAGTTAGTTAGTTAGTAGTGTACGTACGTACGTACGTACGTACGTACGTACGTACGTACGTCGTCGTACGTACGTACGTACGTACG